CCACATTCAGGTCAGCAAATACTTACTGGGCCTCTACAATGTGTCTGGCCCCAGAGAACAAGGGACAGTGAGGCAATGCTCCCTGGCCTCAGGAGCTCACATTTTACCAGCCACAAGTTTTGACTAATAGTACCTCTGGAATACTTACTTTGTGCCATTCAACACTTATAACACCCTATAAAGTAAGTACCATTTTTATTCTTATTTATAGATGGGGACTCTAAGATATGTGGAGTTTAGGGAGACTTGAGTAACTTGTCCTTGGTCCTGCAGACAAAGACAGGATTTGAATCCAGGCAGAATGGTTACAGAGTTCACAAGCTTAGCCATTACACTATATTGCCTCCCTAACAAAGCACAACTCTTCCTTTTGCACTGTTCAAAGGGGACACACTGACCTGAGGCTAACTTCTTATGACAAACATATATGGTATATGTTCATCAGAACATGCCTACAGAGCTCATTTATAAACATCCAATTTCAGTTCAATTGGCATTTGTGGAAACCCTACTGTTTTCTACTTAGGCACTGCACTGGGTGATTTCACAGTGACTACCTCATTCAATCTGAACAACTTCGTCAAACAGACATTTCTATCATAAGGATGAGAAAATGAAGAGGCAGACGTTAAATGAACTGTCTGCATTTACACAATTAGTGAGAAGTAGTGCTGAGATTTAAACTCAAACCTCCTGATTCTAAGTCCTGTGCTTTCGGCAGCCTCATAAATGTTTTTAGTATATTCATGAGTTTGTGCAACCAACCCCACTAATTCCAGAACCTTTTTATCATCTCTAAACAGAAGCTCTGTACCTACTCACTCTCAACTGTTCTTTTTCCCTTCCTTTGACAACCATAAATCTTCTTTCTGCCACTATGAATTTGCCCATTTTGGGTATCTCATATACATGGAATCACATAATGTGTATTTTTGTGTCTGTATGACTGCTTTCTTTCACTTAGCATACTTTCAAAGTTCATTCATGTGGTAGCTTATGAGGTATGTCAGGAAAAAATGCAGTCATTGTTTATGTAATGAGAACCATTTGTGTGACATTGGTGTAACCTGACAGCCAAGAAGAGTGGGCTGGAATGTGCATGGGTGAACAATGACAACTTCACTGTACTAATCAGTGAGGGTGATAAGACTCTGTTAAGTGAACATGTGTACTGTGTGACTGTTGCATTCAAAATGACTGAGCAAGTAAAGCAACATCAAATTTTGCTTTAAGCTTGAACATTTCTGCAGGAAAACTATTCAAATAATTCAGAAGGCCTCAGCTATGGGCAACTGGTGATTGACAGCTTCATCACTGCCACGTGCCCACTCACACATCCCCTCTTATGCAGAGTTTCTTGGTGAAACATCAAATCACCCAGGTGACTCAGCCCTGCTTCAGCCCAGATTTGGTGCCCTGTGACTTCTGGCTTTTCCCAAAACTAAAATCACCTTTGAAAGGGAAGAGATTCTAGATTGTCAATGAAATTCAGGAAAATATGATGGGGCAGCTGATGGTGATTGAGAGAACTGTGTGAGGTCCTAAGGTACCTACTTTAAAGGGGACTGAGGCGTCACTGTTCTACATAAAATATTTCTTGTATCTTCCATGAATGTCTCTATTTGTCATATTACATGGCTGGATACTTTCTAGAAAGACCTCATAATATATTACTACTTTATTACTTTTTATTACTATATAATATTTCACTATTTGGATATACTGTATTATGTTGATCCACTAATCAGTTAATGAACACTTGGATCTTTTCCACTTTTTGGCTATTATAAAAATGCTGCTATAGACACTCATGTACAAGTTTTTGTATTAACGTATGTATTCAGTTCTTTTGGGTATATATGTCAGGGTGGGATTACAGGGTCATATGGTAATTCTAAGTTTAACTTTTTGAGGAACTTTCAAACTGTTCTCTAAATAGGTGGCACCATTTTGCATTCCCACCATCAATAAGCAAAGGCTCCAATTTCTTCACATCCTCTCTAATACATTATTTTCCACTTAAAAAAATACTCATTCTAGTGTCATCTCATTATGGTTTTGATATGCATTTCCCTAATGACTTAGGGTGTTGAGCAACCCTTTATTTCAATATTAGCTGTTTTTGAAAAAATGTCTATGAAGTTTTTTTTGCCTATTTTTTTTCATTGTTTATTTTTTAATTTTAAGCGTGTCATATATTATGAATATGAGACCCTTGTCAGATATACGATTTGCAAATAGTTCATCCCATTCTGTGGGTTGTTTCTTTGTTAAAGTTTTTAATGTTGATGCTGTCTAATTTATCTGTATTTAATTTGGTTATTTTTGCTTTTGGTGTTATACCTAAGAAACCATTCAAAGTCATGAAATTGACATGCAGATATCATCTTAAACCTTAGCTTTCAAAGACTTTCTCTTCTCCCACAAAGATGTATAATCTCTGTGCAGTTTTAAATGAATTTGAACCTCTATTTGACATTGTGAAATTAGGCTTTTAAAAAAATCCTCACCTGAGGACATTTTTTTCAATGCTTTGAGAGAGACAGAGGAAGGGAGAGGGAAACATCAATTGGCTGCCTCCCATGTGCACCCAGACCAAGGATTGTGTGCACCTTGACCGACTGGGGATTGAACCAGCAACCTACGCATGTATCCTGAATGGGAGTCGAACCTACAACCCTTTGGTTATGGGACAATACTTGAACCAACTGACCCACACCAGCCAAGGCTGGGCACATTTTTATTAGGGGATGGGAACATTATGTTAAAATAATTGAAGAATTCACAAATTTTCTCCCAAATTAATATATGTAAAATACTTATTACAGGGCTTTAAATAGTGACTTTGATTAATATTACCACATACATTTCTTCTGACATTCCACTTCAGACATCCCACTTCTAGAAAATTATGAGTAGAAATATGTAAGTAGGCAAAGCTTTACTAGAATGTTTACTGTAGTATCAATGGCAGCATTGCAATATTTGAAATAATTTTTCTGCAATTATATTTTATTGGTTGAGTAAATTCTAAGTAGGCTGTATATTTTCTTCCTTTAAAAATTGTATGTGTATGTTTGTGCATATACACACATATTCACAGCCATAGAGAAAATGGTGTGCAATGATTATTTCTGGAACTCAGTAATGAGGGGAAGAAGAACTTCGAGTTTTCCCTTTATATGTTATTGTAGTGTTTGATATTTAAAAAGAATCACCTATAGCACCTTTATAATTTTTTTATCCTCACCCAAGGACATTCTTTCATTGCTTTTAGAGGGAGAGAGGAAGGGAGAGAAACATGGATGTGCAAGAGAAACACTGACTGGCCGCCTCCTGTACGCACTGGGACTGGAGATCACATGCCCAGACTGGGTATCAAACCCACAACTCAGGCACGTGCCCTGACCAGTAACTGAACCACAGCCCTTCAGTTACAAGATGATGATCCAATCAACTGAGCGACACCAGCAAAGGCACCTTCATAATTTTTTTAAAAGTAAATCTAGGGAGTTTGTATTCCACTTCTGAATTGGAAGCTAGCCAGCAGTGTACTTCAACTCTGTACTAAAAAGCGTTGAAAACTTTTATAAAGTGTTCACAGGATACCAGCTATTTTTTCTTTGGAGTAAAAGTGGTTTTCAGCTTATCTAACACTCATGAATTAAGGTACATTTCTGAATCAGAAGCCAAGGAAACTCTAAACAAGATTATTCTGTATAGAACGGTTGCCACCTGCAGTAGATTAATGAGAGACTAGGGACAATGACACAAAATATAAAAATGACGGAGGGACCCCGCTTTGGTTGATAATCACAAAAGCAAGGCATCCAAGGCCCTGGGGAACAACAGCCTTTTTACAAGCCTCCCTAAGCAGCGTAGGCACTATTCTCCATCTTAAAAATTCAAGTCTTCACCCAAGAGGAATCCCCAGAATCCAGCTTTCCTAGGTACTCATGCAGTTACCAAACTTCTCAGGAATGTAAACGAACAAAAAAAAATTACATTCATAAGATAGCTCCTCTGTTCCTAGCACGGCTATATTCTTCCACAAACAGAAGGACATTGCTATGGTCTGAATGTCTCTCCAACATTCACGAGGAAATCTTATCATCCAAACATGATGGTATTAAAAGTGAGGCTTTTGGGGGGGTGCCTCAATCACGAGGGTGGAACTTGGGTGAATGGGGTCAGTGCCCATGTGAAAGAAGTCCCAGAGAGCTCCTAGCTCCTTCTGCAATCTGAGGACACAATAAGCCTGTGGCCTGGAAGAGGGCCTTCACCTGGCTGAATGGCACCCTAATCTCAGACTTGTAGTCTCCAGAACTGTGAAAAAGAAATTTCTGTTGTTTATAAGCTACTCAGTCTGTGACATCTTGTTATAGCAGCTTGAACAGACTGAGATAGACACTGTGTACAAAATTCAAAAGATCAGGCTCAAGCTTTGTTTTTTCTTCTTCCTTTGGGCCTGAAGTAAAGCACATACTCTTCATGTCCCCATGTCTTAGCCTAGGAAGGACCTCTACCAACACCTGTGCCAACCACTTTCTGAGGCTGACTCAAGGCTGAAATGTGGTCACGTTGGGTAAGACTTCCAAAGCTGTTAAGTCCTCAAAGAATGGAAAAGTGTTTTAGTACAAATCTGACTCAGTATTATTTTGAAAGTGAGAAATTTTCAAGGTTTATGCTTTTTCACTAGTTCCGATTTAGCAGAATACTGTTTATAAAGACTTAAAAAAAGGGATTTTTATTGTTTTGTATGTGGTAATCCTTGTGGGCCACTTCTGGTATGAAGTGTATTAGGTGTAATTCTCCACTGGCACTCACAGATGACTTTATTAATAACATTTTTAAATGCCACAAAAATTAAGAAACAATTGTATTGGACTTATTAGAGATACCATCGTGGCACAGACTGCTGATGGTATTCTTTACATCTTCTGCAACAATCAAATAAAATGCTGTCTAAATTTAGTAAACACACTACTAAGAGGCAGGTATTCTGCAAGCAAGAAAACCTTTTATTTTAAACCACAAATAGTCAGCAGGTGGCCACAACTATCCATGTTTCATTAAAATCACATAAACCTAGGTACAAAAGCACCACTGATTATTGCTCTAGAAAACTGCGTGAAAAATTCAAATATGCACAGTAAAAACACCACAGTATGCACAGGACTAAATTTTTAAAGCAAATGCATGGAATGCTGAATCAATTTTACACACAGCTTCCAATAGTCAATGTATTTTACTTGAGGATGATGAAAATTTCCAAAAAAGATTTGATTATGAGAAGGTAAAATGTCCATTCTTATATAGTTTTGTATGCCAACTAGTAGACTTCTAAAAAATTAGCATTTACAAAATACTTGGTAAAAATAGCTCTTAAAAGTTGTCCCAAGAGGTACATAAAATCAACCCCAATTTGTCATGACAATTCACTCTCCCTTGTTATCTACAGATTCAGTTTTCTGTGCCTGTGAGAAAGAAAGGAAAAAAAAGATACGGTTACTATTAAAACAATCATAAGCCAAATAAAAATTCACCCCACCAACACACACACTTGAAAACACCTGTTTTTTAGCGACGCTACCAGAAAACCTATTTCAACTCTGGGTGTAAAACAGACAAGGCAGGTATATTTATTACACAAACACTTTGCTATATTTACTGCTTTCTGCTTTTCAAACAGCCACAGAAGCTTTTGCTGCAAGCTCCCACTGTTCATAATAAACACCACCACAACACTATCTGATTCTAGTCACTGCAAACATGCAGAATTTTCTACTGTACCCTTAACTCTCACTGTTTCAATCTGCCCTTTTACTGACAGTGTGCTGGGTGGGGTACCTCTGCAGGCTGAGACACTAACAGTTGAGCGAGAGATGTAGATCTGCAATAACATTACAGGCAATGAAAAGAGACATTAAGAACATGCTATCACCAGCTGAAGGATCCAGCAATTTCTTAAGACACTGATTCAATCAGTGGGAGGTATGTATGCAAAGTACCTCTTCAACTTTAGTTTCACCATTTTCAGATGGTGCAGTACCTTCCTTTCCAGCTTCCTGCTTCTCCTCCTTCTTCGCTTTAGCACCTTTGTTAATCTTTGTTCCAGGTTCTTTCTAACAGAGGATCAGAGCACAGAGCATATTAGACATGGTGTGATGTTAGCTAAGATCAGTCAGCCTCCGTTTAAACTTGAGCCAGGGCCAACATAGTGGCTTGGAGGGGGAACCTAATTTTGCTGGGAATCAGCTGAGTTCTACTGAATCTCTGAAATGTAACAGGCTGTTCAGAGAGTCCACTGGACCTTCCCTTCTGGGAAAACACGATGATTCCCCTCATGTATGTGTTCGTTGAGCCTCCTCTCTTGGAGAAGTGGAGAGAACAGCAGCCGTTGGTGAAGGATGAGGCAGAAGCTGGGGGCAACCCAGAAAGTGAGACACTTCCTGTGGGGACATGGGCTTGAGCAGTCGACTGATTAGAAAGCTGAGAGACAAATTGAAAATGAAGACCCAGATCGTAATTTCAAGACCACACTGCAGAAGTGAGAGCTGCTTCAGAATCACCTACTCACATAATTGCAAACATTGCACAAGGGAATTGTGAGGTTATATGAGAAAAGCAATCAAAACAGGGTCTGGCATAGTAAAAAGGTCATATAAGTTTTTGCTGATATTAGTTATTTGTTAGTATTAATTATTACGTGATTATTATTAGTTATCAGCAGGTCTACTAAGACCAGTGACACAAAGTCAGAAGTCCCTTCCCCAAGTTCTCCAGCTGTTGGCAACAGTGCTGCCCACAGTTTACCCCTTCTGTGCCTTGTGTGAACAGCATGTTCCCGAGGAAGCTACCAACCCCCCTTGGACATGAGGCTTCTCAGAGCAACATGCTCTGCTTTCTTCATTTTCTTGACCCAATGAAAAACACACCCCTGGTAAAGCATAAAGCTGTGCTTCATGCCTTTTGAGAAAGCCTGGAGCAGGGGTAACAGCCTTCTAGACAGTACATTTAGCCTGAATCATTAAATGTGATCTTTCCTTGGATGACTTTTGGATATGATATTATAATTTATTCATTATTTAAAAAGACAGAGTGGAGGTGGGAGCACCTCATACCTTAGCAGATGTTTTTCTTGGTTTAGGTTCAGGTTTCGGTAGAGCAGGTTTCTGTAATGATAAAATACATTAGACAAATACTGACAAAGACGACTCTCAGCACCAAGAAGAACACAAAAAGGCTATGAAGACAACAGTCCACTTTGACTATGATTTTGTTCATGTAAAAATATTTGGTTCTATGTTCAGCACCCTATAACAGCATACAGATCTCTGCACTTCACAACTATTTTCATCCTTGGTTCTCAAGTGAACGGCAGGTGAGATTTAAAAGCCGACTCATTATGCCCAGGTCCAGAATAGCTCTCCGGGAACAGGTTTAGGCTTCTATCTCTGATGCCTCTGCACTTCCTTTTATCACAGCGCAGCAGCAAGAGGGATGACTCAGGCTCCCAGCCAAATGACTCAATGAATTCGGTCACACCAGCCTTCCCAACGGTGGAGAAATCACAGCACAATCACAGGCAAAGCCCATCTAGTAACGAAGACTGCTGCCTGTGAGGTGCTTCAAAATCATTTCCAAATCCTTTCGCCTCTGATGTAGCTTTCAAGTTCTGGAGCTAACTGACTTCCTACTTTCATCATCTCCAATGTCAGCTCAAGGTGAAAAGAGTCTCTCGCCCACCCAGATGCTGGGCTCATTTTGTCCTTAGAGCTCTCTGTTAAGAAGATGATTATAATGACAAAATATTCACTGTTAGCTCCCAAAAGTTTAAGTTTTTCACAGATTAAAGTAACCAAAGAGCCCACTAGACAACTATTTTTTCTATTGCCTGGTATGGTTCTCCTGCCCTGAGCAGTGCCTGCCTGCCCTGCAGCCACAGTGCCCTCCACACAGGGCTTTGGCCCTGGCCCACTGCCCAGGGCACTGAGCATGGGTGGGACATTGGGATGCTGGGGAGGGCGGTTTTCCACGGCTATAGTAGGGCAAACATTTCTGTCACGGAGCTAGGGAAAAATAAGTGTACGTCTCTCCTGACACTAGGGGAGAACGGTTTTTAAATAGAAAACACTGGCCAGGCTCTTCCCTGTGGAGAAAAATACATGTTTTTCCCCAAAGCCTCTAGGTGTTTCAGGTTCATATTGAATCTGGCCCTTTTCATCAGGGGCATAAAGTAACATTGTTGCCAGTTCAATACCTGAAGACTGGCTGTTAGACATGACCTTTCAAACAGAAAAAGAAAACTGAGCTTGAAAAGCAAGGAATGCTTCTATTAACCTTGCCACTCCAGAACTGCAGTCTGCTCCCCGATTGCAACAGCTTGCGTGGCTACAATTCTTTCAGGATTTTTAAAGTTTTATTTCGAGCTTTGATATAGTGTATTAACATATGCTTATTTTCTCAGTTTACATAATATAAAAGCAAATAATTTCCTTTTATATTATTACTGTAAGACGGCTCTTTCCCCTCCGACTCAGCATTCAAGTGTTCTGATGGGACTGGAGATGATGATGTTTCACAGCCTGTGATCCCACCGGCCTCTGAGGAGGCTCTGAGTCAGCACCGCAGGCAATGACCTCAGGGGAAGGTGCTTATGTTGCTGGAAAAGGCTTTCCTGGTGCTCAGGAAAAGCCTTGTTTTAAAATTTGAGGAGTATTTGACTTCGCAATGGCTTTCAGTAAAACCTATATAGTTAAGCCTCAAAAGAGTTCAAACTAACTTCTGAACCCTGGTGAAAGTTACTAGTGGAGCACACCATGTCTGAAAGCTTTGGGGAGATCTGGATGTACAGTGTACACACACCAGTGCACCACCTCCCTGCTCTTAATCTTCCTGCTGACTCTGATATCGCCTCCTTAGGTTGGGACTCATGGGAAACACTGGCTCACTCAACTTACACCCAGTTACACTTCTGAACTTGTGGCTGGTCCTCAAATTCATTTCTGCTTCGATTTCATGATGTGTGCCAGCCCTGGGCATTGGCTGAGGATGAAATCCATGCTTCCCCAAAGGCCAAAGGAGCTTGCAGCTCCCGTACTATCTAGAGTAGGGCTGTAAGTTGTCAGCCAAGAGGTCCATGCCTTTCCATTACATCTCAGTGGGCAGTGTGGGCTGCTGGTATTTTTTTTTACCCAAAGCCTCCACCAGACAGCCAGGCTGACCTGTGTTGGCAGAATGAAGACTGGACATCACTCAGCAGGGCAGCAGGAAGGAGTGCAATGGCCAACCAGGAGTGCAGTGTGGTCACAAGAGCAGGAGCACACTCATCACCAGGACGTGGCACACCTGCCCATCTCTGCTTTCAAGATCTAACCTTCATCTCCTCCCTGGTCATGGCCCATGGAGGGAGACTCTAAGTGGCAAAGTGGAATCATTACTTTTTTCAAAAATTTTCTAATTCTGAAATGAGGCTAAAGCATACAGAGTCAGAGAACTTTCAGAAGATTCTGAAGTATGAGTTGTAGACAGAGAATCAGAATTCTTGTCCTCTTTAACACATCATAGGTAGAATGGGAAGGCTACAAGTTTGCTTAATGTACTTCTTTTGTTTCAAAGATCTACCAATAGCAAAAAAAAAACTTCTGTGCTTTATAGCCTTGGTCATGGGGATGGCCACTGGTTTTCACTAACACATCTGATCAAGGGGACTGCTCTGCAACAATGGTCGCATTTGCTATGTATTGCGACTACGTGACATCCAAAAAATGAACAAACAAAGAAACTCAAGGGAAACACTAATCTTCCTTCTGCTGCTTCTCTCTGGGCAGAGGAAACATGTTCTCACAGGAACTAACCCCGAAGGGGTTCTAAAGTACTCACCGCTGACAATCTGGCAGACCGTCTTGGGGGCTACAAAGAAAATGGAAAAATACATACTTTGGGGTGATTATATACAACCAAATCAATTTTTTAAAATTCTTTAAAATATTTATTGAGAGAATGTAATGTATGACTCCCATCAAGCTCTCCAGGTGAATACAGTGAAACATGTCAAGTAACCCTGGGCACCTAATGTTTACGAATACGTGCTTCTGAAGAGGTGCAGGCACCCTATTAAAGAAGTGGCTTCTCCCAGTTAAGGTTGTGGCAACCAGGGAAAGAAAAAGATGAATTCAGGCTCCAAACCACAATCTCTGCTTTTGTGATAAAACTGACAGTGGAAACACTGAAGTGCTATTTAAGAACTAGTTTCCAGTCTGACTCTGGTTCCTTACAATTGGCACCAAAGTTTATAGTAATTACAAGAAAGTTGCATAATTGTGTAGAAACAAAAAGAGCAGGAGTTCCCTGCCTTGTTAGAAAAGAGAATGACTACAAGTTTTAGTCAGTTAATGAGAAACATTTCCTTTTACCTGTTACAAAATAAACAGTTATTTCTCCAGTTAATAAATGCATATGTTAAAAAACTTAAATAGAGTAAAAAGTTCACTAATCTTTTCTTGTAATTTGGTAGTTTGGAGAATTTAGAGAGAAACTGTGTTGAGACTGAGGTTTTCCAGGAAATCTTTACTTCTTTAGTGATGGTACAGGTTAGCAAACGAGATGGCAACAAAAATTTAAAATAACAGAACTCTTCTGGACATTTCAGAAATAAGCACACAGAATTGGTGCTTACCACCAGCAAAAAAAAAGGCTCCCCAATGGACTTCACATTCTAAGAGTACAAAAAGTATATACTCCATAGTTTTTGTCTGTTTTATTTACTGCTCTAACTCCAGAGGAACAGTATGCCATCGAACACATTGTAGATACTCAACATCATTTGTTCAAAAAATGAACTCAAACTTTTCCCTTATTCTTGCTGCGTTATCCATACTTTGCCTTATTTCAATAGCTTAAATGCTTCGAATAATTTTGTTAAGGGGTCAACCTAAATGGTCAATAACAGCCCATGCCATGAGTGCAAGGAATCATGAAGTTCTTAAAGCGGTGCTTGGGTTGGTTTACGTCGGCTGGTCAGGCCAAAAGAAAAGAAATATTTCTTGCCATCTCCAGACCTAAGAAATTTGTTGCTGAAAATAGCCACAGGAAGCTAACCTCATCTTTCTTTAAACTACAGAAGGAAATGAAGGGCTAGAGCCTTCGTGAATAATTTTAACCCTGGGTTCTCAGGGAAAGACCAGAGCTGGACGTAAGGCCAGCCAGCAGCATGTGCCAAGATGAGGAGCCTGCAGATTAAGTGGTGGCTGTGATATATTCACTGCAGAGGGAAAGAGTTACTGCTTGGCACACAATGAGAGGAGTGCCTGCACCACAGGGAATACCGCATCTGTCAGGATTATCATGAAGATGAGCCACAAGTCACTGGGAACCAGAACCCAAGTTCGATGATGCCTTTCTCAGGATGGTTAGTTGCAGGAATTGGGTATCACTGAAGAATAGGCAACATTATCAAGTTAAAAAGGGCAGCAGGTAGGTGATTTGTGCTTCTTCATCATGGAGTCAGAGCCAGGAGGAGCAATGAGTACCCAGCAATTTCCAAATAGAGCTCAGCTTTGATGCTTCTTTGCAGCCTCAAGAACTACCCACACTGTCTTACAAGTAAAGCACAGGCAGCATGAGTGTGTTCAGAAAGAGACTCTTTGAGAGGAAAAGTGGCAGACTCTATGCCAAAGAGGCATTGAAGAGACCTTATCTGAGTCCCTCTCCAGTTGGCGTCACTTTCATGAATCATGTTGGCCTTACCTCATCATTCTCTTCACCCGTCTCCTGTCTGTGGCCCTCAATCCCTGTAGTTTCAATGCCAACTAGGGCCCCTCGATAAATGTGGAGCTGAACAGAATGGGTAAGCACCAGAAATGTACAGCAAGTGCAAACCCGGGAGAGATGCTAAGGTCACCACCTGATTTTAGTGCACTTGGTACATGACTGTATTTTCATCAACAGCAAGGCAAGTTCCTCCACCAGCAAAAAGATTATGACTTGCTGAAGACTCCAGGGATAGTTAGCATATTTTAGCAATGAAGTCTTTTTCAATTCAGTTATATACATTATTTTTTAGACAATAATGGACCTAATAACACTATTGCATACTTAATATACTACAGTATCCTGTTAATATAAATTTTATATGCACTGGAAAACAAAACAATTCGGGTGACTTTATTGTGATATTCGTGTTATTGTGGTGGTCTAAAACCAAACCCCCAATATCTCCAATGTATGCCTATACTTGGGTACTATTCATTTCAGGGCCTGAAAAGGGGCCAAATATGTTAACCATTACTCATGACTGCCTCCCTATCCATCAACTAGCTGCCCTGAAAAACACTGAAGTGAGGCCAAATCATGTGAGAAAACCCCCAACTCATGCTCTTGCTCCTTTCCTCCCAAAGAAAACAGCCAAACATATGCAGAGGCAGGGTGTTGTCAGAGGGCCCTGAGGGATTTCAAGAGAGACATCCCAACCACACAGCTGCTCTGTGCGGCCTAAAAGCGGTTCTGATGCAAGGTACTCACTACCGTTTTATAATTTGGGCCCAGCACACGAGTTGCTAAATCAAAAGACTAGGAAACTAATGCAAAAGCAAAATTTGCCTCTCTGGGTTGTCTAAAGCAACAAAGCTCCAAAAAGCACGTCTTCTACTATAAAATCATTTTATGACTTTCTGCCTACAATTTAACAGCTCTTCTTCTTTCTATGCTGCAAAAGAAAAAAGAAGAATTTTTCTTAAATTTTCCTTTCTAGTAGCCTTCAGAAGAGACTTTCTTTTTCAGCATAAACAGTGGAAGCTGAGATGAACCTTTCACGCAGTCTCAAGACTGGGTACCCACGCAAGTATGTGCACCTTCCTAGAGAGCTTCATCAGATTTCAGAGCCTTAGATTCTATAAATGATTGGGCTATATTTGTTAGATATAAAATAGACTAGACTCCTATTTCTTTCCTCCACCAGAATTTGCAGTATTCATTTGAGACTCAGGCTGTTGGGCAAGACCACTATGAAAATAAATATAGTAAAAATTTCTCTCTATTTCTTGAATGTAAATCCTCAGGAAAAGTGGCCAGAAGAATGGTTCTCAGGGAAAGAAGGCAGGTATTTAGAATGACAGGTAACCAAGAAAGTTCCAGAAACAATGTGAAGATCTGTCACTGTGATATGTAGATGCTAGACACAATGGAATTATTCACAAAGCATTTACTGATTAACTGATCATTCCCTGGGTTGGAGAAAATTTTGGTGAAAGCTACTCTGAAAGACATGGAATCTTTTACTTTTATGTTCTGGAGGAAAAAACAACCTGGCATGGAATTCTAGTCTTGCTATGATAAAGTTCACTAGGATAGAGATAGCTAGATTCAAGTAGAATGACTGGACTTTGCTGAATACTGTTCGAAACATATGGTCATTCCACTGGAATTTGGAAGTATGTTTATTTTTATGCTCTTTTTTAAAAAGATTTTATTATTTATCTTTAGAGGGGAAGGGAAGGAGAGGGGGAGAGAAATATCAATGTATGGTTGCCTCTTGTGCGTCCCCTGTCAGGAATTGGCCTGCAACCCAGGCATGTGCCCTGACTGGAAATCGAACCATGGTTATTTGGTTTACAGGCCCGCATTCAATCCACTGAGCTACACCAGCCAGGGCTATTTTTATGCTATTTCTTAATGCTCCTGAGCCTGACCATGTGCTTACTTCCAAACAAAACTCAAAATTCAAGCCTCTTTTAATTCCCAAACAGAAATGAGGAAAGAGGAAGGACTTTCTTTCCAAAACTAGGAGGTAGGGAAAGATGTAAATCAGAGCCTTGGCAGAGAAAAAGCACTGGATAATCAGGTTTTTATGATCACCACAAAACGGGCAAGAGGACAGAGGACTCTGAATCAGGACATTCAGTTATCTTTCCTGGTTCTCCAATTTATAAAGTGTGATGTGGGAGAAAATCATGTACGTCTCTGAGGATGCTGTTTGCATTAGTGAAAATGAAGATAATAACATCTGTCTATTGTCAAACACAGTACTCTGACATTCACTATTCCTTCTCCTTGTTTTATTTTTCTTTATAGCAAATATCTGATTATTTTATTTCACACTCTCTCTCTTCCTTGCTAAAATGGAAGCACCATGAAGGCAGAGATTTTTGCTTGTGCTCACTGTGGACTCTGGCAGAGACCAGAACAGTGCTTGGTGCATTGTAGTTGCTCAATGCATTTCTATGAAGGAATGAATCTGCTTTGCCCTCATTTCAGGGTTATTGTAAAGGTCAGATAAAAGTAATGCATGTGAAAGGGCTTTGTAAACTGCTGAGTGTAGTGACTGTAATATATTGTTTTGGTCATTCTTCCCAAATACTAAACTCTGTGCCACACCCTTCAAATATCACAGCAGGGATGGAGGCTTCAAATCCTCTGTGACATCTTCACTGTAGTCAAGGCTGTGCATCATCAATGGCAAGACTAGGAAATTCAACTGATTCAGTGCAGGTGGAGGCCAATCAATATGGTGTCTGACACTATAGTTCTTACTCTAAAACACCAGCTAACCCACTGACCCTTTCACTTTCAATAATTGTGTTGATGTCCTGAAGGAATATTGTGAGTTTTAATTTTTGGTTTAAATGAGAGGTAGAGTCTTATCTAGAAAAGATTTTTGTTAGCAATAATATAATCCATATAATAATAAAAGTAAAATATTAAAAATAATAAAAAATAAAAATATAAGCATGACTTTCAGAGCACCTCAATAAAGTGAATATAGTAATAAAGTGAGTCACATGAATTTTTCAGTTTCCCAGTGCATATAAAAGTTGGGTTTACACTATACTGCAGTCTATTAATAGCATTATGCCTATAAAAACAAAGTACATACCTTAATAAAAAATACTTTATTGCTAAAAAATGCTAATCATGATCTGAGCCTTCTGCAGTTGCCAAAAAACCTTCAATTTGTAAAAAAAAAAAAAAAAATGCAAGACCTGCAAAGCACAATAAAGCGAATCACAATAAAATGAGGTATGCCTGTAATATAGATCATAAAAATCTTGGGCCTAAAATAATATGTGTGACACAGCTGTATTCTTTTGCATATATTACAAATACCCTGATTGCTTTTAGTAAAGAAAGATTGGAATGACTGTTCTCATGGTCCAAGACCTATTGTGTGCAATGGTTTCTAGGTTTTCTGACTGACAGATCAATTTCAATGGCAGTCTCTAAGGAGACACCCAAATGCATTTTGTGCCTAAATCTAAACACATTAAGGTTCGTTACACTTAGCCAACTCTTCTACAAATTGTATTTTTCTATATTCAAAAATTTAAACATTTGTCCCTTTTGGGTTGGTTCTAGCATTTGTATAGTAACTTGATTTTGATTCACAAACTTTACCTCCCAAATGATTAGACACTGAATGCCAGCAAAATGGCTAATGGGGCCTTGGTTATAGGCAGTTTTGTTTTGCTTTTAAATGATTTCTTTATAGATTCTATTAAAGGTTTTCCATTAGGCAGAATGAATTTCCCTGTACAAATCCTACGTAGGGATTTTACTATCATGATAAACTCCGAATTATTATCCACAATACGAATCACCCAATCAAAGAGTCTGTAAATAGATATTATTTTATCTCTCTCCAGACCCATTTTAGTTTATAAGTTCAACAGTAAGAGCTTCAGTTTTTCAACACAATGTACACTGCAAAAGTGAATGGCTGTCACCATAGTTACCATCTCACTTGCTACTTTTTCATCCATCTCCCTTTAGAAGTTTATGATATTACCACAAAGGGTCAAATGCAAGCATCTCTTCCAAGTACCTAGTTTTTTGGAGGTGTCTATATTTTAATACAGAGCTTCTTTGAATTACTGCCTAATTAATTAGCCTAAGCCCTAAGAATTTTTCTGATTTAAAAAACCCAACTTTAATATTTTGACGTCTGGAGCATCTTCCATATAGTCTTTGACTTTAGAGATGACTCTTCTTAGGCAAATATTCAGAACCTAAAAAGTCTATTAATTCACTTGCCACAGCAGAGAATCCACTAAATCAACAGCCTTGCATTTTCTTGCTGTGAAAGGCAGACTGTTCTCCATGATGAATCTACCTATTTTCTCAATTTTGGCCCTGAAGGAATCTCAGTATCTGCTTTAACAGACAGCAGGACTGACAGGTAGAAACATAAACAACATAGTAAGCAGAAAATGCCTCACTGTGAACCTGACTGAAAGACCTAGGTCAGAGGAGACCACACAGCGACACTGTTATCTCTGGCTTGTGTACTCTCAACAGTCTTGTATAAAAATAGTACTCATTGAGATGCAGACAATCGTAACGATATTGAAAATTTCAGTTGAATAATCAAATACAGGATGTCAAAGATACACTTACCTCCTGTTTAGTTACTTTGGATCCATCCTTGCCCTCTGAATTCTCTGGTGACTAGAAAAAAAAAATTTAGTGAATTGTATTTATACTAGAAAACACACATTAGAAGGAGATTTTTTAAAAGATATTTAAATTCTCTGGACCACATAAACCAACAAATATTTTGAGGGGAAAAAGCAAGTTTGTAAGAGGATATGTTTTACACATGCACAGGCACACTGCACTTATGAGCAGAACTGTTCTCCTTTTAAACCAGGAGTGGTGCAAGAACTGCTCGGTCCCTGTGCTCAATGCACATGCACCCTGAGCGGTTTCTGTGTGGTTGAAAGAACAAGAACCCAGCAGTTAATGCCTGGGATCCACCTGCATGTTCTAGTCGCTTTGATGCTCTGAGGTGAGAGGTCAAGTCAAGATGGTGGAAAAAGCCCAGGCAATTGCAAAAGTATATTTTCATTCCATGGCTGCCTGGCTTTGATTTCAGCCCATTTCTTGGTATGACCTGACTTGATATTTATTGTTATTTTCCCATTATCAATTTCTGCACCTCTACCACACTCCCAGCCTCACAGGACAGCAAGCACCCCGCCAGCCTAGCTGATTTGTTTCCAGATTGTAATCCAGCCCCTGAGCAGCACCTACCCACTCTCCTGACAGCTCAAACCTGCCTCTTTTACGAGCTTGCATACAATGGGGAAAATATACTTAGATTTACGCGACATACCAATTACCCCAATATATTTTTATTGGCTAATGATAATAAGTAAGATTAAAACAATTAAACTAATTAGAAAATTGAGCTATTTATCACAAGATATGAATAGAATTCCCATAAGGAAAAAATACAATTTGTAAACCAATGTTGGGCACAGTGTTGCTTTAGCAAAATAAAACATCTGTGTGGTAATGCCTTATCTGATAAAATGAGAAAATAATGTAAGACCATAAAATCCAATGTTTGGCAGGGCAGGTGAGGCTTTAAATCAACATAATACTTTCAAACAACAACCTGGCAATATGAAAAAGACATACAGGATTAATCATATAATGACCCAGCAACTCCAGTTTTAGAACCAGAACTCAAAGGAAGACTCTGCAAAAATACAGTTTTATTCGTACTGTTTCTAATGTGGAATAACTGGAAATGACTTCCTGGAAATATTTAAGTAAACTATGTAACTATTAGTGCAATGGGATTGAAAATAGGCTATGTGACTACACAGAAGTGCGCATAAAATAATGTTAAAATAAGAAAACTTATAAAAATCATATGTAAAACACAGGTCAGAGTATATAGTCTTTGAGAAAGACAAAAACTTTTCTTCAAGTCAGAGGACACAGCAAACCTTCTCTTCACCCTCGGGTTTCCTGTTACCCAGTTCACCCCTCCCTGCACCTCCCAGATCCGTGCAGTTCTCTTCTGTTTCCCAAACCAACTCTTTCCTCCGCGGCACCTTCTCTCTCATGAGGGGGAACAGAGCTTCTCTTTTCTGTTCTCCACTCTCCTGCACAGGATTGTCTGGTTCACAGATCTAGTGCTCACTCGGCTGAATTAGAGGTGAAATCTTGAAAACTCTGACCATATGAAGACAACCCCTAGATGGGCCGTTTGTCTGTGCTCACTTCTTCACTACAAACTCTTCTGGCCACAAACCAGACCCTCTATTGTCGAGGAGTGCTGGGCTGTCTTTCCTACCTGCCAGGCCACAGTAGATTCATCTGGAGCACCCTTTGCCTGTTACCAACAGGCATTTAAAGAAGCAGCACAAAGCTGTTGCTGATGTTAAGTGATGTTAAAAATAAGTGATTTAATGACATTATTTTCAATATTCTTCCATGCAGTGAATTAGTGACAGCTGTAGGACTGAGAGATTACTCTCTAAACATGGGCCTAATGTTTGAATTGGATGCAATTTATTGAAAAAGAGAAACATGATAAGATGCCACATAAAAAATATTTTCAGGTATAACTGAAAATATTGATGCTTTCAGATGAATGAACATAGACTACAGATGTAAAGAACTGCAACTCTAGGCAAAGCTGGTTTCTCTGGCAATCTCTCCACAAGGGCCTTCTGTTAACAAGTGTGTAACAAATTTACAGTCAGGAACAACCCCACTAATCTTTCCCTGGGATCAGTGTGGTACTGTGGCACCAATGCAGGCCAGGACACCAGCTTACGTCTTGTCTTTCTTTCTAGGAGCTGTGTGATCTAGGGCAGTGCCTTGATCACCATGGCTGTCTCTTCACCTGTGAATGACAGATGATAATGACATGTAATTCAAAGGGTCATGTTTGTGATCAAGCAAGATGTTGGGGACAGCATTTCATAAACTGCAAATTATTATATAAATGTTATGCAACAAAAGATATAAGCTCTTAATGAGCTTCCTGAATTATCAAATATAAAATTACATTCAACAGAGCCTTGGACTTGAGCACATCCCCTTACATCCAGAGTCCCTGCAACCTTGTCACCTGTTTTTGTGGCACAGGTTAACAGGCATACTATCCAGAAAGGCCAACCATTTCAGGCTATCTTATCTTACACCCTGTCTAACACTAACATTTAGCCATGAGGCTGGAGATAGCAAGGAGGGCATGGTATGAAGGCATAAAAAGAGAAGTCCGTAGTCTTCTACCCCAAAGGATTGTGAAGAATAAAAACAAGAAAAGGAGGAAACAAAGCTTGAGGGTGTACATGGTTGATCTCAGACATATTTCAATATTCTAGCAGGCTGATGGGAAGGATGAGGTGACGAAGATGAAGGGGCAGGGACTTCCAAGGCACGGGGGTTCTTGCCCCACTCCCCATGACAGGGCAGGTTGATAATCCAGTCTGAACCCAGAATGGTCAGGAGGGCAGAGAACCATGGTCAAACGAAAAGGTCTCGTTCACATATCTAAGGCTCTTTCAGCACCCAAGTGGCATGGGTCCTGAACTGAGAATTAGCACAAGGTGGGGGACAGATATGGTGGCCAGAAGAAAGGCACAACAGGGATTCTGGAGTCTAGAGCACCTTGGAAAGCCGATTTGAGGGCAAGTCAGCAGGCAGGTGGGCCCCTGAACACCAGGTGACCCAATTAGGACAGAGGTCAGCCAAGAAGGCCTGAACTTCGGCAAAAATCAATAGGCAGTTGAAATTTTTTTATTACAAACTTTGAAAACAAAAGTAGAATCATTGAAATAAGAAAAACTTGAAACATAAACATTAGACCAGGGACAGTCAAAGAAATAATGTATCGTCACTGACTGCTGAGAAATCAGCCCAGAATTCAACAAGGAGAAATAGAGAAATGACTAATATGAAAGGGAGATTAGGAGATGTTGGGGACCACTTTGTGTGGTATGAGAGACTGTAGCTCAGCACAAGCAAGGCCTTGAAAGAGGCCTGCAAGCCTAGTAGGGAACGCCAGGAATGCTGGAGGCAGGCATGACCCCATACTAGCACCGAGGGTTCCTGTGGGAGATCAGGCTTAAGAATGCATAACACCCCTTGAGGCTCGCTTTGCTTTGTATGGCCCTGTTGATATAAACCAGATGTTTAAGTTCAAGGCCTAAGTAAGGGAGTGAACCCCTAATCTCAGAACTATAGCTTAACGACCTTCTGGCGTCAGCCTATTGAACAGACCCTGACCTGAGGCAGATCCTTGTGTTTCCTCAATCGTTACCTATTGATAATATTTGTTTTCTGTAACTGTGGCCTTTAGACATTGACTGATGAGCTTTGCATGCATACTGTATACCTCTGCACATATCTCTGCACAATAAAAGCTGTGCTGGAGAAGGGCTCGGGGCGTTCTCCACTAGAGGGAATCGCCACCCCCTTTCCCATAGGAATGACAGATTGTGCCTGGGACGACTTATTTCTCATCCATGGCCTAGAGAGCTCCACGGGACGGGGCACCCCACAAGGAGACATGGTGGTTAATCGAGAAGTTCCACATATATGTAATAGTTATTTTGGAAGCAGAGAACAGAGGGACTAGGCAAAAAAAAAGCCAAATAACCCATCCAGAGAAGATTGAAATGTATCTATTACTACGTCTGCAAAGATTAACAGCTAACTTAACTATATGAGTAGCGCAATGTTAATTTCCCTCTGCAAATGTCTATGAACTATTATGAGGTTTTTCAAATAACAGTTCTCGTAAATTCAAGTATTCCTATAACACATGAAATAGACACTAAAATTTTTATTCAAAGCCATCAGGACTGTTTAACATTGTTTAACATTAGTATGACTGTTCTTATTTCATCCTGAAGGTATATTTTGGGACCTTCCAATACTGTATTGCTTTTAAAAATAATCTTTAAAAATCCAATTCCTGGAATTGAAAGATCACATGCAGAGGATTAATAATCAAATGAATATTAAATTTTTTGCTACCTACTCCTTTTCTTATGTTGATTAATTTCATCAACTTCTATAAACCCAAATTGCACTTATTAAAGTCATGTCGGGTTACTATCTTCCAAGAGTAATATTTTGGACTTCTGCCAAGATGGAGGCATAGGTGGAAGCACTGTTCCTTCTCACACAACCAAGTTTAAAAACAACAAATTTTTAACAACAAAAATGCAGCCAAACCATAGGAAATTGAACTATACGGAAGTCTGACAACAACGAACCCTTCAGCCAAACTGGTAAGAGGGGCAGAGCCAACAGCAGAGAGGGTCCAGCAGGAAAGATCCACCGAACCGACCCGGGTGCATGACCCAGGTGCGCCCGCAGCTGTGGGCAGATCCCAGGTGTGGAGTAGCGGGCGGACCCACTGAGGGTACAAGGCAGTGGACCCACTGAGTGCTGACCATGGTCACACATTCCCACACAGATAAACCAGTGAAGGAGAGAGTGGTGAGACAGACCGTGCAGGCCCCAGTGGAGGGAAGCAGCAGAGGGGACCGCTATTGTCCTTCTCTGACCCTGCCCCCACATACAATGTCACAAACCAGCAACCTGGGTTGCCCCACCCTGGTGAACACTTAAGGCTCTGCTCCTCATACTTAACAGGCATGAACAGATCAAAACATGGCTCAAGAACAACTCAGAGC